CCCGCCGAGCTACCAGTCCACAGTACGAAAGCTAATCAGTTGCAATCGCAGAGGTGGACCAGCCGAGGGCGTTTCTCGTTCGCTGTAGCATAGGGGGTACGCGCGGTAATACGCCTCTATCGGACCCGCACGTGAACCGACATCTTGGGGGGGCTGAGGTCCCAAGCGCGACTCGTCGTCGGTCGACTAGGACGCATCCCACACACCACGCGCACTCCACTTTACGAAGACTCATACACACAAAACAACATATATACGAAACGACACAATACCAACAACGCGACAACGCTCCTAGCCCCTCGGTAGCCAACCCATAACTTTCCAATGCGGAAATCGGATAAGCGTCGCGCGCTGAACTTAGTATAAAACCGCACGGACGCAGGGCATATTCATATCGACTTGCGATGCAGGCGTACACAATCAGTCGCAACAATGGCGTACTATGTAGTGCCCATAATCAAGCAGTCCCTCGTGGATTCGAGTACCGCTTATGACACTCAAGTGTCAGACTTGAAGTGTCGTGAAGGCCTAGCCCATCACGACATTGCACGGCTGAAGGAATAGTCGTGCAGCCGCCGAGGCACCTCAGGCTCTCGACCTGAGTGTCRCGGTAGGCAAATCGAATAGGCTCTTCGCGAGGGAAAACCCCTCCCCTGCAGAGCCTAGGGCTTGGGATGTCCTGTACAAGGACCTCGAATCCCAGCCCAGGACCAAACGTTCGATTAAGAAAATCATCAAAAAGCAAGAGACAAGAATAAAAGGAGAGACCTCCCCTAAGTCCCTCAGTCTCAGCTTCTGAGTGACTCCAATGTGGGGGCTCTTCAACCCATGCAAACATTCATCCCAAGTATACCCATGTATACATATATAAGATTTTAATATGTGACGATCACTTTTCATGGTTTCGCTGGGGTCTCTCACAATAATACGTATATGTGTTATTTGTAGGCAACCAAATCCAGAATCCGATTCACAGCACATACCTTCCATCACATCAACAAACCAAATCAACAGCCCACACACTACACGGAGTCAACCCCAACCACCTTCGACATTCACACCCCTTGCTTTAGCCATGCAAGCCCTAAAACCTCCTGTCCAACCAACCTTAATTAAATACTCAGCACCTTTGTCAAATGGTCATTCAATAAAAGTCCGGGTGAAACCTTAATAAAACAACGAAATCACCGGGGCTAAAACCTTTTAGGTTGAGTGTAGAGGGAGAGTTGAAATTGAGTCGTAAACAGACGAATCGGCAACCGACCTGTTATCAGTGATAACAGTAAGTGATCCTCAAGGGATCAAGCTGGATCTAGCCCTGAACTTGGATCAAATGATCAAAAGGACCTGTAACACACGACAGACCAATCCTCAAGCTAAGATCATAAGTGTATTGAGAATACAACTCCATAATACATCCTCACTCAAAACTTTATCACAAGTTAAACCTAAGTCTACTTTTAAGTCAGTGTTTAAGCCAAAGGTAGACCAACTGCAAAAATCTCCCCTATTCTGGGTGGATCGCCTGAATCACCTGTCAAAATATAATCTTTCTCCTCTAAACTAAGAAAATTTTGGCAGCGCTTCCCGTAGGAAAAGTGTCTTTCCATAATTTATATAATCTCAGATATGGGAGCAGAAATAATCTCTAACTCCTGGAAAGTCAAATTTTGTCTAACTCTCTGAATTAGTAGAAATTTGGGCAACACTCCCTCTAGAAAGGGAGACTTTCCAGATTTATACTAAGTCAGATATGAAAGCAGAATTAATCTCTAA